CCCCCCCCCCCCCCCCCGCCCAGCTTCCATTGAATGATCCACTTCTCTTTCCATTGGCGTCAACCTTGTACTTGAAAACCCTAAAGACCATTATTAGCTATACTCTAAACTCCTTGAAGGGGGGTTTTATAGGAGATCATATACGGGACTATTATACGGCATATAAAGGGGGATACTCGGAGTTTAGACTATATCTCATAGATCCGTATGGATCCCTACGAACCCCTACATAACCCATTGTTCAAACTACCACATTAACCATTCGGTGGCTTGGTCCCTAAATCCCAAACTCCGAACACTGAACCCTAAACCCCAAACCCTTAGACCCTAAACCCTAAACCCTAAACCCTTAAACCCTAGACTACACCCTAAACCCTTTTACCCTAAACCCTAAACCCTAAACCCTGAACCCTCACTGTGTGGCTGAGTCCCGAGCCACAACCTCGCGCGGGGACACCTTCTGTCTAAGCTCGAGCATGGACTTGTGGTAGTCCTCAGCTCAGAGGCGGATTTAGGGTTGAAGGTTCAGGGTTTAGGGTGTAGGGTTTCGGGTTTAGGGTCCCTAAACCCTAGACTCTAAACTCTAGAATCTAAACCCTGGAACCTAAACCCTAGAGGTTTAGGGTTTAGGTTTTGGGGTTTAGAATTTTGGGTCCACCGGCGTTGAGGCTTCAGGCCTCTGGGGTTTCGGGTTTAGGTTTTGGGGTTTAGGGTTTAGGTTTTAGGCTTTTGGGTTTAGGGTTCAGGGTTTAGGGTCTACTGTTCCAGGAACCGTGGTAGAATTTCCGCTGTCCAACTTTTGCGCAAAATGTCGAGTGCTTGTGGAAGATTTGGACTCAGCAAATTCCCAATCCCTAATTTGAGTTCATTCCCTAAAAGAAAAATATGGTTCTACAATAATGAAAGTGAATATTCTACTGTGTACGCAGGGCTACCGGTGGATCAAAGGATACTAGAATTTCCTACCCTCACGTACACAAACCACAGACCGTGCAGCCGTGTAGTTTACCGCTTCGGAACAAGACCGTAGTGCTGGTTCGGGCGTGTATACCATCCCTCGGCGCCATTGGGTGTAGGGTTTAGGGCATTCAACCGCGTAAATTGCCTGTCTCATTCAGCGAGGCACACCCCAGACTTGTACTAGACATTTGGTAACCCCAACCCCAGAAACCCTAAACCCTAAACCCTAAACCCTAATAAATTTTTGGGGGGTTGGAGAAAAATCCTTATATCCGGGACAAAACTGTTCATGTTGTCTCCCGGACCGTGCTTTGCCTGAGCTGCTGCAAAAAATGGGGGTTTCCCAGAATTAGGGGTACCATTTTTGGGGGTCCCTAGGGTTTAGGGTTTAGGGTAAGGGGTACCATTTTGGGGGTCCCAATAATAAGGACTATAGCATTTTGGGGTCTATATTGGGGCTCCCCTATTTTGAGAAACTACCAAAGACCATGGCTGAGGATGATTGGGTTGCTGAGGCGTCATGAAAACATCTGCTTTGCGCTTTCTCAAGAGCCTGGATGGTGGATTGCAAGGCTCGGCAGGCTTACGATTGTCGACCTTTGAGTCTGAGTCCTTCTTACCGCTGCCTTTTGAGGTTTGCTCATCCTTGATCTTCACATCCTCCTCATGGCTTCTGTTGGGCTCCTCCTTCGCAACCAGCACACTCTTGCCATCCTTGAACATGATGCGGCAAGACAACGTGGCAGCTCTGCCTGCAGCTGTCACCTTATCCGTCGCTGCTGCCTTCGACTCCACACTTGCAGTCTTCTGAGACATGAGCTTGGCAACAAATGCTGAAGCCGCCTTAGCCATCTCAGCAGATGGAGCAAGGTTGTCATCGACTTGGGGTGCTTAGTCCCCCTTAAGTAGATAGAATATAGGGTATATTATTGGGATTATATAGGGATAATGGAGAAGAAAATGGAAACTACTATGTGAGAATAATGTCTCCCCCAACCCAACAGTCTGGAAATGCCAGGCAGAGCTTTCGGATTCGGCACAGCTGCTTGATAAATTACAAGTAGGGTTTAGGGTTTAGGGGTTTTGGGTTTAGGGTTTGGGGTTTTGCAAAATGCTAGTGGGATCTATACAAGTACTGTATGGGCCCAAGGGCTTTAACCTGGCTATATCTTAAGCTCTTTCCAATTGCTGGAGCGCAAACATCTTGCATGACAGGTCTTTGTATACCAGACACCATATTTCGCAAGGTAGAAGGCACTTCGATTATGTGGGGTTTATGAGCATCAGAAATATCAGCTGTACCAAGTTGGAGGCCCAGTCAATGAGAATAGGGCCCTAAACCCTAAACCCGAAACCCTAAGGTGTATATTGTAAGTAGGAAGGGATCATCGAGGAAAGAAGCTGGTTGCTAGCTGGGCCTCTACACTACTGCTGATACAAAAAACCCTGCATGACCTGAATGTAATATAGCATCAAATTCCCGAGGAATAAAGTACTTAGGGTCATGCAGGTTTTTTTAATATCCACAACCCTAGACCCTGAAATCTAAACCCTAGGTCTTGTACCCAGCTTGTGAATCAAATCGAAAAGCAAACTGAGACCGACACCTGGTCGATGGCGACGCCTTCCTCTGTGTCCTCTCTGAACCCCACCCTACTGCTGGGGAGTTGAGGTGAGGTTTAGGGTTTGGCGAGTCCAGGGTTGTTGGTACTAAAAATCCTGCACGACTTTATTACACCATAAGACCATGTTTGCCAAGGGCTAGGGCACTTAAGCTCATGCAGGATTTTTAGCCCCAGACATATCATCCGTTGTGGCAGTAGTGTATGCTTAATGACCATTGCGTGCACGCCAGATTGACTCCATCAACCGTCTTTGTCTCCTTACTCACCGCGAAACCTCTCAAAAGTAAGTGTGCTTGAACCTCTGGAAAAATGATTGATAATCTAAGTTCCAGTCATGCAAGAACTTTCTGGCAAGTTGATCCCTACAACTCTGCCTAGAAAAATCCCAGGAAGACCTATAGCATTGTACCGATATTGACTCCCCAACAATCCCCTCAAGCACCAGCCAGAAAAGTGGATTAGCAACTCGATTCGAGGTTCAATGCCTGAACCCCAATGCCTAAACTGCTACCCATGAAGTTCAAGCAGTTCAACACATGGGCTTTGTTCTGAAGGTGCGCACTTCCTTCAAATTAAAGCAGGCCCTAACCAAAAAGGGACCCTACAAACGCGGTTTCGGGTCCATTTTGGGGACATCTGTTTTGAACAACTACCGTATGCATGCATTTTCAAATGAGCTATAGTCTAACCTCCTAGTATCCCCCTTAGCAAGCCCTATAATAAAGTCCCCTAAAGAATCCCCCGATAACCTTCTTGAGGGAGTTTAGATAATATCTCACATATTATATAATCTGCGGTTTAGGGTATAGGGAAAAGATGCCGAACCCTAAACCCTGAACCCCAGGAACAACATCTACCACCCTTCCCCAGGGAGGCAACCCTGACGTTGCTCTTGTGCAAGAGCCGGGGTTAGCTTAGGGTGCGGGGTGTACAGTCTAAACCCTGTGCCCTAAACCCTATCAGAATTCAGGGTCTAGGGTTGGGGATTCGCAAGGTTTAGGATTTAAAGCCCGAGTTCTCACCAAACCCCAAAACCCCTAAACCCCAAACCCTAAAACCTAAAACCTAAACCCTGCTTTCCAATTCTTCTAGGGATTCTTGCACAAATCGCTGGGTCTCGACACAGGGATGCTGGGTTCAAAACCCTTCTTATGATCACCCAAGACTAGCCTTAATAGATTTGGGCTTAGGGTTTAGGAGCTATGTAGGGATAATGGAAAAGAGAAGGGAACCTGCTAAAATGTAGCCATTTCCAGCTTTAGTGTTTATGGCTAAGGGTTGAGGATTTAGGGTCTACTAGAGCTTTAAATCCAGTTCTCCAAGTAGCTGCTAGATTCCGTGAACTTAGAAACAGCTAAACAATCCTAATCCCCACAAACGCTAGACGCTGAGATCTCCCAACTCTGAACATCCTGAACCCCAAAACTCCAAGGCCTTGTGGGGCACGGGGAAGCTGTCAGTGATGTCTACCGCGCTGCCCTCGCCTCAAGCAAAAGGACGACGAAAACAGGGTGCGAGATTCAAGGTCAAGAGCTTCGTGCTTGAGTTTGTATGGCTGACAGGGACACCAAACTGAGAGTACGTCTAGAAAATCGAATGAGGTTTCTGGAATAGTTATAAGGGGATTATGGGAATCCGTTTTAGACATAAATACCTAATAAGTTCTTAAAAACCAATGTCAACCTCAAACCCTAAATTCAGGTCCATCCTTTGACCTAAATCTCAGGCCCACCAAATGAGCCCTGGAATGAAAAACGCCAAAAGAAAAAAGCTCTAAAAAGGAACCAACTGGAGGACTTTAGGGTTTAGGGTTTAGGCTTTCTGTTCAGCCTTGAGCCCGTTAAACTCCAAAGAACAAACTAACCCTAAGCACTGAACAGTAAATCAAAATGAAATCCTAAACACTGAGAGACCGAAAACCCCAAGCCCAAAGCCTTCTCCCTGTATGAGCCATAGTCTAAACTCCCAGTATTCCCCTTACTAAACCCAATAGTAGTCCCCTGTAGTCCCCTACATAATCCCCCAAATAACCCGGTTTAAGGAGCTTAGACCCTAAAACCTAAACCCTGAACCCTATATAATCCCCCTTCCTTTACAAGGAGTTTAGATTATTGCTATATTTTCCCCTATATAACCCCATGGCCTAAACCCTAAACCCTTGACTCTAGACCCTAAACCCTAAACCCTATATAACCCCCTTTAAAGAAGTTAAATTATGGCACATATGCCGGGACCGCTGCTGATCCATCCCAGCAGGGTGCCGATGGTGCGCGTGGCACCCGCAGGTCGCCGGACGTAGGCGTCCAGGATCTGTAGGGTTTAGGGTTTAGGGTTTAGGGTCCCAATCTGTTGTGGTGGGTTCAGGCTGTAGGGCTCCAGATGTGAGGATTAACCATTTAAGGCTTGTAAGTATACTAATGGCAAGAATACTAGTAATTGTAAGAATAACAGTAATAAGAATAGCAATAACAGGGACTAGGATTGCAGGTTTAGGGATATTGGCTTCGGGCTTAGGGACTCGGAGGTCAAGGGCACTAAGAAGGGCTTGCGGTTTGGCGTTCGGGGTTAAGGGTTCCATGCAATCCCCCTTCAATGATTTGCCTTTAAGCTTATATTTCATGCATGCCCTGGGCAGTAACTCCCCTACGGTTTTGGAGATTCCTGGGAAATTCGCTCCCCTTAGTATATTGATAGAGACTATCTCCTTAGCTCCCCCAAAAAATATGGGTAGGGAAAGTTGTGTCAGTACCTGCTTTTAGCTACCTATCAGCCATCGGGCTTCGTGATGGCAATCATGGTTGTCACCGGGCGCAAGATTAGTGTGTTTAGGGTTTAAGGTTTAGGGTTTTCTCATCATTGTAGATTTTCCACATGGTACTGATGTCATTCTCATCATGCTTGCCACGATGGTTTAAAGCTGCAGGCTTTCTGCTATGACGGCTGATACTCAATGGCTTGCCACGTAAAATCAATAAGGGGGGTCTTAAACAATGCAAGATTTCTTCCATCTGTGGATGATTTCAATCGCGTTGCGTGGTCCCTTTGCCATTTGGTTGCCTGAATCGGAGTAGATCCCCTAAACCCTAAACCCTACACGGCCGCTCGGGTGAAGGGTTAGGCCTTGTTATTCAAGCTACTGGCTTGGGACGTACTTGGAAGGTCAGGGGAACCTGGCGCAAACACCCTCCAACTGGAATTTCTGGAACATGCCCACACGACTGGCGAGGCATGAGCCCGAAAGATACACTTCAGATTTAACAGCCCTAAACCCTAAACCCTTATCCCAAAAATCCTGACTTCTAAAAATCGCCTTCAGAACCGTCACGGGATGAACACGGCAGCTCAGCGGCTGCTCGATGCTGCTCTTCTGTACCCGAGACCTTGCTGGGTTGGCCCCTAAAACCCTTTGAAAAATATTAGTTTATAGGGATTATATTGGGGTTATATTGGGGTTATATAGGGGTTATATAGGGATTATATAGGGATTTGAAAAATATTAGGTCATATTGGGATCATTGAAAAGAAAATGGAAGCTACTATAGTTATGTTGGGGTAATATTGGGATAATGGAAAATGAAAATGGAAGCTACTATAGTTATATTGGGGTTATATTGGGATAATGGAAAAAGGGCTCGAATCGCCTGCGGGCAGGAAAGTCGGTAGCCCCAGTTCCCATGCAATTGCTCCAATGGAGAAGGGAACGAAGGAGAAGGTGCAAGTTTTGTTTGCAATCCTTGTTCACA